CTTTTTGCACCATCCTTATCACCTTCCAGCGCTATATCAGACAATGCTCCGTTACTATTCATAGGGTTTCACGGCCAATTTTTTCAGAAGTGGCTGGCCAGGTCCTTCTTCCTAGTCTGTCTCCGTGTGGAAGCTCTGCTGAAACCTGTCCACCATGGGTAACCCTGCTGGTATTTAAAATCCCAGTGCCATAGCTTTCAGCATCACAGCAACACACAGACAGGTGGTGTGGTTCCCTGACTGAGAAACTAACCTGGGCCACGGCAGTGAGCGCTGTATCTTAACCACTGGACCACCACAGCTGGCCTTCACCACAGTTCATTATTTACATTACTTGCAAGCCTACATACAGAAATACTAGATTTCATTTGAAAACATGTCATTCAAATTGTTATACTAGTTTACTGCAAATTTGAACATGGGAGATAGACTTAAGGTCTAATCCTAAAACTACCAAACAATTCAAATATGAGAAAATTAACCCTAATAAAGAAAATACAATCACTATCTGGAGAAAATACATCCGAAAGCAAATTACAAGCGATGTTGTAAACAGTGGTAGTGGGAAGCAGAAAGACCACCACCCCTGCCTAAATACAAAAAATTTTTTTGTCTTGCTCCCAGCTAACCCAACTCTACCCTTCATTCAAACTTCTACTGAGCACCCACCAGAGATTAAAATAATAACAATAATAATAATAACATAGTATCTATCCTTAAGAAGTTCACAATCTTCTGAACTGGAATGTGACCTCACTAGAGTCCTCTTTGTTTCCTTCCGTCTGAACGTGAACAGTAATGTCCATCGTCATTTCACAAGTGAGGTTCAAATGCAATTAGAAAGCACCATGATATATTTAAGTGACAAATAAATGTAGACATGGATTTTGCTTTTCGATTTAGCAAAACTATGTAAGTGTGATACTGGTTTTCTTACCAAGCAAATGGAGAAACCCATCATTTCAGACATGTCCACCATTTAATCCGCCACTTTAGACATTCACTCATGCCCGACACACCTAAGACATTCTGTAAGGTCTATCAAAAAAAATGGTTTCAGGGGCGAGCCGGTGGTGTAGCAGTTAAGTTCACGTGCTCCACTTCAGTGGCCCAGGGTTCGCAAGTTCAGATCCCAGGCGCAGACCAACGCACCACTTGTCAGGCCACGGTGTGGCGGCATCGCATATAACGTAGAGGAAGATGGGCACAGATGTCAGCCCAGGACCAATCTTTCTCAGCAAAAAGAGGAGGATTGGCAACGGATGTTAGCTCAGCGCTAATCTTCCTTACAAAAAAAAAAAAAATGGTTTCAGACCCTAGGATTCATTATCCCCATAAGACCATGCTGTGAGAATGAGAGGTGGGCCATGTTCACATCCGCACTGCAGTTTTCACTAATGACAAATCTCTAAACAAAACTGCATCTGACTACTTCATAACACTGAAATAGATGCAACTGTTTCAGAAGACTATTTGGAAAGTCATAACCAACACTCTTCCTCAAATCACAGTTTCCAACAGATCAATAACATTTCCCAATCCATTCAAAATCTTAAAACTCCTGCCAAAAAACATTTATATGTCAGATACAAAAAAATTTCAAACCAAATCTGTACCACAACATAGAAATAATTATTTGCACTGCTATTGAGTTTAAATACATAAACGTTTTATTGCATAAAAATGTAATCATAAAACACACCATGCCCAAGTAATTTTGAAAATATATCAAGTAATTTTTCAAAAATAAAAATGGAAGAAATAATGTCACAACCATAAATAACGTCAGCTGTAGCATTACAACAAAAAATGATTCGCTGATACTCACAATGCTACTAGCCAAACTCTATTACAAACTTTAACATCAATTTCTAATCACAGGAGGAGTTAAAGAAACAAAGTACATTATAAAATTTAGAAGTTGGGAAGCATAACTTTTTTTTTTTTTTTTTGGTGAGGATGATTAGCCCTGAGCTAACATCCACTGCCAATCCTCCTCTTTTTACTGAGGAAGATTGGCCCTGGGCTAACATCCGTGCCCATCTTCCTCTACTTTCTATGGTACACCGCCACAGCATGGCTTGACAAGCGGTGCATTGGTCCACGCCAGGGAACCCCAGGCTGCCGAAGCGGAGCGAGCGAACTTAACCACTGCACCACCGGGTCGGCCCCACGGGAAGCATAAACATTTTAATACATGAATTAACATTTAATGAACTTTGTATATGGTCAGTTTAAAGCAATGTATTAAAACATGGATGATATTTTACCACAAAAGTCGGCATACATTTTACAGTAGAGTACAGCTCCATGACCTACAGGAGTAAGTGCTTGTAGGACTAAGTAACTTGTTAGTCTAAAAGTCAGGAGACCTGGACTAATTCACTGCCAGTGAGAGGCTCTCACTAACTCACTGGGTTACCTAAAGCAGTAAACGTGGCCATACTAAATATCTAATGTTTGGTAAATGAGACAACTGAAATAGAGGATCAACAGTTCTATTCTGATAAACACACATAAGAGATTCAACAGGTCACGACACAACATCACCCCAATCACTATCTACTGTATATTCCCATCATATACAATTTAAACTTTATTTTCTATAGTTAGTTATGAACAATCTGTGTTTTACATACACTAAAATGATGAATGTCTCAAACTACACAGGTCTTCCTCAGAAATTATAATATGTGCACCTTTTGAGAATCACTGCTACTCGCCAAATTATGATGAACATTGCTATTTGAATTCTGAATGCACTAGCAGTGTTTCACTTTCTCCCTTTACCGAATTTCACAAACAAATTACCATGTTTTAGCTTTATTAATTTACATCTTTCTGTGAAGACAATAATATTTTACTGGATATTTTGGGCAAGAGCTATCTTAAGAATTCTAGTATAGCAGGGAAGCTAAAGAGAAATAGGCAGTCATTTTAAACTACTTTAACAATATGCCGTAGCCCTTAATGTTTCTGCTAAATGTGAGATTAAAGAAAGCAAATAATAAAGTAAAAAATATGGAGACAGTATGAGTTTCTGAAAATATTCTTGCGGTAGTAGGGAAGAATCAATACATTTTTTAAGACATGCTTTATGTAAGACAACTGAAAATTTTGTAATTACCATACAGCAGCACTGAAGACAGTTTGAATCACCAGAAAAAGCATGGACTGAATGATGACATGGGCATACAGTATACAATCTCTAGTGAAAAGAAACTTGTGCAAATTGTTGTCCCAATTAGCTACCACTTCCCAAGGTGACCTAATCACTGAAATGAAAAAAACTTCCTAAAAGAAACTCCAGATAGTTAAGAAAACTCTATTAACATATCAAATCTGCTTTTATAAAAGCCTTAATTTTCAGAGACACCAAAATTATACTTATTTCTATATACCTTCAATGTGTGATTGCATCCTATTTTCAAATACATCTTTATATACACATTATTCTCACCTAATCTTCACAAAAATTCCTTTTTTTGGGTGGCACAGTGAAAGCTGCTGGGAATACGCAAGTAATTTCTTTAAGCTTACATGTTCTTACCTAACTTGACCAATTTCACAGGATTATCAAGCAGCAAAGCCAAGATTAAAATGTAGGTTTCCTATTATTCCACAGAGCTAATAACATCAGTAATAAAAATCTGAGTTTAAGGGGCCGGCCCGGTGGCGCAAGAGGTTGGGTGTGCGCGCTCTGCTGCGGCGGCCCGGGGTTCACTGGTTCGGATCCCAGGCGCGCACCGACGCACCGCTTGGCAAGCCATGCTGTGGCAGCGTCCCATATAAAGTGGAGGAAGATGGGCACGGATGTTAGCCCAGGGCCAGTCTTCCTCAGCAAAAAGAGGAGGATTGGCAGATGTTAGCTCAGGGCTGAACTTCCTCACAAAAAAAAAAAAAAATCTGAGTTTAAGGAAAAGCATGAAGAAAAATGTTGACAAACCAAAACCTAACTAAATTTTAGTTATATGTAAATTACAACAACAGGATAATTGTTCTGGTGAGCAGAACTGTATCTTATGAAAAATACACCACCTCATTACCCTGCAGGTTGACTTGTCACTCTTAACCATCCCAAATAAAGGTGAGAACATATAAGTAAATAAACAAAGACTCAGGAATGTCAATGCTAAAAAGTCCTAGCACAAAACTGTATGCTGTGACTCATAAGAAAACCCTTTAAGCCCTCACGTAGAACCTATTTATTCTGTTCATCTCGTGTCTCACAGTCTCAACAGATTAAAAGCTGCAAAGAGAGTTGATGCTACAGACAGACACAAGTAAGCAGTGAGAAGTATCAGCCTAAGGGGTGGTGGGAGTTTGACCAACACTGAAGAGGCAATGAACCGCAGGATTCCCCAAGGGCCTCAAGATAAAGTAACTACTATATTGATTATCTCAGGTCAAGAAAATTAAACTGTATTCAGTGAAATCTGTTTAAGAAGGCAGAAAACTATATAATACATTGAGAAATTTTACTGTCAAAATTATCCTGAATTATTCTTGTTCTTACAGTAGTGAGTCTCAGTTACCTGGAAAATTCTCTCATGTTAGATACATATGCATTCAAGTGTCACACATTTATTTTATTAATCTATTTCACCCAAAATCCTGCAAATATTTTTAAATGTTTTATTTAAACATTAAATAGTTTTTATTTTAAATGTTATCCAAAAAAAGAGCTATTAATTAGAATTCACTAAGAAGGCCACTGATGGCGCCCGCCCAGTGGCGCAGTGGTTAAGTTCACGCACTCTGCTTTGGCAGCCTTCATGCGTTCAGATCCTGGGCACGGACCTACACACCGCTCAACAGGCCATGCTGTGGCAGCGTCCCACATACAAAACAGAGGAAGACTGGCACAGATGTTAGCTCAGCGACAATCTTCCTCAAGCAAAATGAGGAAGACTGGCAACAGGTGTTAGCTCAGGGCCAATCTTTCTCACCAAAAGAAAAAAAAAGATGGCCACTGAGTGTTTTGGTTCCAAGATACAAACCTACTGCAGCATGAAACTGAGATAAAGCATCAGCTAGCTGTCCCGCTGCAAGTAATTTCTTGCCCAATTCAAGATGTTTCTCAACATCTGCATTTACTCCACATTCAGCACCTGAAAACAAATTAAAAAATAAATTAACTTTCCACGAACAAAGATTTAATTCTAAAGAATAAAATGTTAAAAATATAGTTATCTGCCTCAGTCATCTACTCAGATGAGAAAAGTCACAGAAGCTGAAAAGTGACCTAGAGAAAGTAACAATAAAGTATAAACAGTGCTTCATTTTATAGAATGTAAGCAACTCAAAAATATACCCATATCAACCTCATCAGTCAAAAGAACGTAACCAGTCTACAAAATACAAAGGAAACTGCACAACACAGTAGTAGTAAAAATATGTTAAACCACCAAATTAGGATTGCTTTGTTAAACTAGAATCTCACTTTAATATTATAGAGTCCACTATAATATTTAAGTACTTACTAAGCATCTACAATGCACTCGGCACTGTTCTAGCTATTTGGGATAAGTGAGCAAAACACACAAAAACCTCTGCCCCTCATGGCGCCTGACATTATGGTGGGCGGAGACAGACATAAGAAATAAATAAATCACACAGTTTTTTAGGTAAAGTACTACGGAAAAAGTAGAGCTGTGTGAGAGGGGTCACGAGTGCTGGGGATTTCAGTACTAAATAAGGTGGGCAAGGGCAGGCCTCACTGAGAAGCTGACATATGAGCAAAGGCTTACCGGAAGAAGGTGAGGAACTCACCATGCAGACAGCTAGGAAAAGAGCTTTCCAGGAAGGAGGAGCAGCCAGTGGGAGGGCCCTAAGTCGAGAGAATGCTGGGTATGCTCCAGAAACAGCAGGGAGACCAGGATGGCTACCACAGAGCCAACAAGGGAGATAGCAGTGTAAGACAAGGTCCCGACCATGTACAGTTTTGGTTTTACTCTAGGTAAAATGGGGAACTACTGAGGAATTGTGAGTAGAATAATACGATCTGACTGACCAGGCCAATTATCAGTGGATTGCCTCTCTGCCCTGAATTCATTCCTCAGTACTTCGTTGTAAAAACGGACTGGAGTTTCTAAGCATTTCTTCTTTACACTGAGCACAATGCTATGCTCTGTCAGTAAAGGGCACTGAAGGGGCACGGCAGGAAGGACACCTTCTGGTTCCCATTGCTGCCTTTACTTTCCTCTGGCTCCTGCTGCCTGGTCTGCCATGCAGCGTCTGCTGCATGGTGTGTGGCGGGAGGATATCCAGTGGTGCCCTGCCCTAGCCATAAGCCCAGGGGTCCAGTCCCTCAGCCACCTGGCAGCCTTGACCAGACACCACCTCCCAACGAAGACACCATGCACTCCAGGCTTCACACCTACAACAGCACCCCAACTTCCCCCACACACAGGCCAACCACCTAAGAGAGCTGTTTCCTGCTTTCCCAGGTACTGTGGACAGCTCTGGCCCTGGCAACTCAACAAACTTGTCTACCAGCAAACTTGGGCTGCAACTATACCTTCTCCAGTGAGGTCTGAAGCCGAGCACTGAGGAGGGGGTCCTCCCCTCCAAGCTGGCCCTTCCTTGGGGACTGTCTCTCAGCCCTAGAACATCCTTTAGAGTTCTCTTTACATCTTCATAGTTACTCTCTCATCATAACTTAACAATTCTTTATATTAAACTTTCTCTTTTTAAATTACTAGGTAGTTTCTGTCTCCTGAATGGACTCTGACTTATCCACAATTGGTACTGGGAGTGGTCCCAGGAGGCAATAAGCAGACCCAAAAAGATAGGATTTGAGAGTTATTTTGGTCATGCCCTTGAGATTGAGTGCAGTGCTGAACTCCTTGTCGATGAGAAATAAGATGTCACTAATCCCTAGCAGGTATTGGAATCATAATCAAGATACAACTTCTGGTTGACAGTAATGAAGTGCTAACTGAGGCACATGCCTTGGAAACCCAAGTGGCAGCTGCACTTGACCGGGATGGCGGTAACGATGAAAATAAGGACAGTGGCGTGGAGTGAATTCTTTGAGTGCACTAGCGCACTCACACAGAGAAGCTTACATCTCTCAGCTCGAGCCACAGTCTGAGAGCTTCCACAGTAGCCCTAAAACAACCTCTTTTTTGTAGCCACAAAGCTGATTTAGCTGAAAAATAAACACAAAATTTACTTTTGAGGGTTGTGGAATTAAAACAACAGTTGAATTCACAGTCTCACCAAGTTTCTTCTGTGAAATTTAGGGTATGCATTAGTAAAGAATGGGATCCTAAAACTTAAAATGGAGACAACTGGTTGGACCCAGATGAAACTGACCAACTTTAAACCTCCAAGTCCTTCTGAGTCACCCTAACCATTCCCATTGTCACTATACAGATATACACTATGACCCCCCAAAATAGCTTACACACCAAAGGATTCCAAGACTTTGCTGATAAACTTGCAGAAAACCACAGAACATGTGTGGGAATGGATTCTAAAGGTGTTAGACTAAGGAGAGTGGACTATAACCTTATATCTGCTCTAATTCATTGGTATGTGCCACCTACCAGAGCAGAGGTCAGCAAACTGTTTTTATTAATAAAATTTTACTGGAACACGGACATGCCAATTTACTATTTACTGCTTTCATGCTACAATGGCAAAGTTGAGTAGCTCTGACAAAAACCAAATGGCCCGCAAAACCTAAAATATTTACTATCTGACCCTTTACAGAAATGATTTGCCAACTCCTATACTAGAGATCCCAGATTTAATATACTAGCTCATGCAGCTGGAGGTGGCTCTAACAACTTACTTGATTGGCTGATTAAAACTTGGACTCAACAACATCCTATATTTAATAAGGCTGAGATTCCAGAGAGTTTCCCTTGCATGATAAGAAGGCTCATCTAAAGGCTTAGAGAGGTGGGAATGCTGTTGAACTTCTCATGTATGACCTACACACCAACCTCCCACCTATGATCCATGAGAGGGCCCAGAAGACACTCCCTTTACTAAAGCGTTGAGGAATATATTAGTGAGGGACTACCTGCAACCTTTTCAAAGCTCTGTGGTCACTCCCCTTTGTAGGTCAGGTATGACTATCGGCGACGTCACCATTGAGATGGGCTTCCTGATTTCAATGGTGATGATGGGATCCTGGAGCAGCAGAAGCTTAAGTAGCAGCACTTAACCATCACAGCCTAGGTAGGCACATTAACTGTGAAGGGCATCCACCACAGAGGAGACTCTTAATCATCAGGTGGATAAAATGACATGCCCTGTGGAGTCAGTCGACTTCCTTCCCCACCCCACCAGTGCTTGCGCAAAGGACCCACGAACAAAGTGGAGGCTATGAACAGGCTCAAAAACACAAACTACTCCTTACCAAAGCTGATCTGGCTGAAGCTACTGCTGAGTGCCTAACCTGCCAACACCAGACACCCACCTTAAGTTCTCAACACGGCACCATGGAGGGCACGGGAGTGGCGGGGTACCAACCAGCTACCTGATTGCAGATTGATTACACTGGTTCTCTTCCATTAGGGATCACCTTCGCATATTCAGGATACGAATTTGCCTGTAAAGCTTCTGCCAGCACCACCATTCACCGATTCACAGAATGCATTATTCACCATCATGGCATTCCATACAGCTTTGTATCTAATTAAGAAACTCATTTCACAGCAAAGGAAGTACCGCAATGTGCTCATGTTCATGGAATTAACTAGTCTTACCACATACTCCATCACGCAGAAGCAGCAGGCCCATTTGAAAAGTGGAATGGCAGCACTAGTTGGGAGACAAAAACCTGAAAAATTATTTTACAGGCTGCAGGTTATGCCAGACTATCCTATGGTGCTATCTCCCCTACAGCCAGAATACATGGGTCCAGGAATCAAGAAGTAGAAGTGGGAGTGGTTCCTCTCATTATTACACCTAATAACCCACTTGCAAAATGTTTGCTTCTAGTCCTGGCAACTTGAGCTCTGATTGTCTGGAGATCTTAGTCCCCAAAGGGGAAACGCTTCTATAAGAGGACACAACAATGGTTCCAGTGATTTGAAAGATGAGACTCCCACCTCACCATTTTGTACTCCTTATGCCACTGAAACCAACAGGCCAAAAAAAGAAAAAATGGTTAATCTACTGGCTGGAGAAACGATCCCAATTACTAAGGAGAAATGGGGATTGCTGCTATACAACGCTGGCAAAGAGGGCTACATCCGGAACCCAGATGATTCTCTAGGGTCTTAGTAACTCTATGTCCAATACTAACAACTAATGAAAAACTATAGCAACCAAAAAACAGAACAATTAAGCACTCAGACCCTTCAGGAATGCAAGTTCGGGTCACACCATCAGGTAAAGAAGTGAGAGTAGCTGAGGTCAAGAGAAGTATGGAACAGATAGCTGAAGAGGGAAGCCATATATATCAACTATGACCTCATGACCAATTACAGACACAAGGACTGCAGTAGCCTCGCATGGTTTCTCTTTGCTTATTATACACATGTGTTTATTGTATATACAGTCAATCCTCACAATTCACAGAGTCTGTATTTGTGAACGTGCCCATTCACTAAAATTCATTTGTAACCCCCTAAAATTCATTTGCAATCCTCAAATTAATTCTCAGGGTGCCTTGGGAGTCATTTGCAGACATGTGCAAGTGCAGAATGGCGAAACACTTGACTCACTCAAAGTGCACATTCCCAGCTGAAGTCAAACAAGGTGATGCTCTGCCTTCTTGTTCTAGCTCTCATATTATAAACGAGCGTCCTTTTCACAGTATACTTAGTGTCACGTTTTTCACATTTTTGTGCTTTTTGTTGGTGATTTCACTGTTAAAATGGCCCCCAAGTGTAGTGCTGCCTAATGTTCCTAAGGGCAAGAGGCTGCGATGTGCCTTTCAGAGAAAATATATGTGTTAGATAAGCTTCCTTCAGGCATGAAGGATACTGCTGTTTGCCATGAGGTCAATGTTAATAAATCAACAATATATTAAATAAGATATTTTTAAACAGAAACACACATAAAACAAGGTTATGTTTTGATCTGTTGACAAAAATATAGTGACCTGAGGCCCTGTGGGATCTTAACCCTGTATTTCCTCCTAAGAGCA